CTTGGGACAAGAGGGATGGTTATCTAAAGAATTTGCTATATATAGGTGACTGCATTATCCTCTTGTACAAGCCTTTTCTCCTGGGTGGGATAAACTGGAATTTTTCGTACTTAGTCTGCTGCAAGTCTATTTCTGAGGATTACCATAGATAGAGGAGTGTTTGCTTCACACCAATCTTTGACTCTTTCAAGTTAGACTCCTGACAACAATTTCTGCCAGGCCTCTTCTCTTCCCCATGTATCTACAAATCTCTAGTCTTAGATTCCATTCTTCAGAGTTATAACTAACCCTATTCGTTTGTCCTGCATGCCAAGATGCTAAACTTCATACTTGAAGGCATGAAAGAAAGTACCAATGTTTGTAGATAAGATTGGCACAAATGAGTTCCTCATATTTTACCAATCGTGAAGGCAAACAATTCTCAATTCCAGGGTGCATAATAGAAGCATCTGGGAATCTTTAAAAACAAAAAATGAACAAGCCCAAACAAACCCACCACCACCACCACCATCATGCTTACCTTTAAGTATCAGTGTATTTTATGAAAGGTAAACTTTATGGCTAGTTAGATTTGAAAACCACTGGTTTGGACAATGAACACTTTCCAGTCCAAAGTGTGCATGAAACTGTGATTAATTTGGAAAAGCCCTTATATAGACTACATAGAAGACACCAGCTACAACAGAAACCAATACCATCTGGTTCTCACAGCGTGGTCCTTAGAAAAGAGATAACATCTTTTTTGATGTTTAAAAAGCTTTTTAAAAGGTTTATTGCCAGGCGTTGGTGGCACACGCCTTTAATTCCAGCACTTGGGAAGAAGAGGCAGGCAGATCTCTATGAGTTTGAGGCCAGCCTGGTCTACAAGAGCTAGTTCCAGGACAGCCTCCAAAATAATACAGAGAAACACTGTCTGGAAAAAAAAAAAAAAGGATTTATTTATTTTATGTGTATAAGTGTTTTGCTTGCATATATATTTGTGCAACACATATGTGCATAGGCTAGAAGAGAGCATCGAATCCCCTGGAACTGGAGTTACAGATAATTGGCTATGAGCCCCCATGTAGGTGCTAGGAACTGAGCCTGGGGCCCTCTGGAAGAGCAGCCAGTACTCAACTGCTGGCCTCTCTCTTCAGCCCCAGTATCTTTTTATACAGAATTTTATTATAGTGTGCTCTTTATTTTCCAGAGGGTTTTTTTAAACCATAGAAAGGTTTAATCATTTGACAATCTCATATTTATATATGAGGGTCATGGTAACAAGAGGGTAAGGAAGATTTTATACATGAATATTAGGCTACTGTCTTAGTTCAACTATGCTTTCTGGGTGTCTTGGTATATTTTTGAGTATCTGAATTCTTTCAGAGCTAAGCTCAAAGCTAATACAAATGGTGCAGCTGTGACTGCATTGTGTTATATAGACAAGGCCAACTCAGATCATTGTGCTATGGAAATGAGAACACTAAGCTGAACACCTGGCCCGGAAAACAAGCAGCTCTCTCTAGTCAATGCCAAATGGATGGTATCATCTAAGCAGAAGTCATACAAAAATCCTAAATTTCAATAGTCACTTTATAAATAGGGTATAAAGAAGGCTGTTCCAAAACCATAGCTTTTACTATTCATGAAACAACTATATCCACCCTTAAGACATGCTTCTTGAATTAAATTTAAGTAGAAATAACTTATTTTAGTCAGTTGTTTCTCATTTCCACCATAAAATCACTTAAATGTCATTTAAGGAACACATAAAATATACAAAGGATGTTTTATATAGAGAAAGCACAAATACACCAATGCAAAAATACACCCTATCAAAATGTTAACGAAAACAAACAAACAAAAATGATCTTTTTAAGCAAAAGCTATTCAAATGATTTTAATTTAAGAATCCAGGACAAAACTCACAACTACCAAAAACATTGTGAACTTGTATATATGCATATCTAAAGGACTCAAAAGAAATATTTTAAGAAACAAATCATTAAATAAATTTCAACTAGTTTTAATTTCCAAATATATATACAGAATGTATTCTAGACATTAACCCCAACTGTTAACTAAAAATTCTCTTTATTGAGGAAAAAAAACTATTTTGAACAGGCACACTCATTTCAAATAATCTCTTTTGAAATGTTTACTATATAGCAATTATTATTTCAATTTACTAGAGACATTATCTATACCAAGAGACTAAATGTGAGATAAACTCATACTATTTGGATCCTTGTGTAATTGTTACGTATGTTATCTTCTCAACAATTATTGATTGGATCTTTGCTATGTGTAAGGTACTGTATATAGAGCAACTGGGGTGGTTTCAAAGATAATCAGAATAGATAATCACTGTTATATGAGAAACAGAGATGACAAACTAAAAGAGGAAAATGAGGAATAAATATGATCAAAATATATTATGTACATGCATGATTTTGCCAAAGAATAAAAGTGTGTTATATTCTAGCATGAAATAGATCTTTTTGAACAGTAAGTTTTATGAAGATCACCTATTTCAAGATGTAAAGTATTCTCAAGTGATCTATAACATACCCAGTTATACTTTAAGAAATAACGAAGACAATTTCATTTTTTAAAAGATTTGAGATGACTTTATCAGTGTCAACTTCTGTATACTATATTACTTTGAAATATGATGCCATGATCCAAGACTACTAGAACATGTTAGCTATTTGCCTGTTTCTTATAATGGGAGCTGATTATTTTAATGGCTAATTTTAGAAAAAATGTCTAGGTGGGGGCTTTTAATTCTCCTAGAAACACATGGCTTTGTGACTTTAATTTTGCCAGTTAGGAGCCGTTTCTTTCCTTCATTATTTCTGATCATTAAATAAGTACATGGTTTGTAAGTAGTACTTGGTCTAAGTACTTCTCTTTCATTGCTTTGAAAGTCCTACTTACAAATGTTTAGTTTTATTAAGATAACTCTTAAATCAGTTGCCAATTTAGTATTCAAATAAGCAAAAATTAAGGTTATTAATTAATTAAAACTTTAAAAAGCCTGAACACAAACTTCACACATAATTTAGGACATATGTCATTGTTACCATAATATGGAGAGCTAGTCTTATTTGTGTACTTTAAGAAAAATGCAAGAAATCGCCATTTGATTCCAGCTAGAGAGTGTGAAAATCAATCTAGTCAAGTGCAACGTTGAATTATGTACATGGGTAGTTTAAAACATCATTGATTATATAATATACTCAGGTACACCTTCAAAAATTTAGCAAAACAGAAAGAAAACCTCTTTTTTCTTAATAATTTAGGATAACTAGTATCACTGTGAACAGCTGCATAATACACATTGAAGTATGATGATGTTCTTCAGAATTACTGTCTTAGTTAGGGTGTCTATTAAGGCAAACTGGGGAGGGACATCACAGTCCATCATAGAGGGAAATAAGGACAGGAACCTGAAGAGGCAGAAGTTGATGCAGAGGTCATAGAGGGGTGCTTCTTACTGACTTGCTCAGTCTGTTTGTTTTCTTATATTCCCCAGGACCACCAGTCCAGGCATGATACCACACATAATGGGGTGGGCCCCCAACATCAATCACTAATCAGACAATATTCCATCAACTTGACTAAAACCAATCTTATGGGACATTTTCTAAATTAAAATTCCCTCTTCCCAGATAACGCTAACAAAACAAACAAACAAAAAACAACCAGCATAACTACTAATACATGTTACATTGGATTGGTTTCCACTTTGTTTGAAAAACAGAAGGCAAAAGAAACATGCTTTTGTTCATTTATAAAAATTAAAATATGTAGCTGTGTCTATAGAATTAAAAGATTTAGACTTACATATGATACTCTTAAATAGCTGCCACATCATGTTTACAATATTAATGTAGCACTCACTTAGTCTATAGAAATCTGTAAAACCTTGAATGGTTCTTACAGAATAGATATGAACAAACTATACCCACTCTTAATGTGAAAGAGGTAAGTATACTGTTCTTCAGAGTTAACAGAAAAACAATGTCTACTTGTGTTAACTAAAATCTGTCACACATGTAAAAAAGGTTCTACTTACAAGGCCATCTCAACTTAAAAGGATTGGAATAAGAACATATTAGTTTGTCTACATTAAGAGGGAAAAGAAGTTTGGTTGTTTTTTTTTTTTACAAATAGAAAAATTTATTTCTATCTTATACTGATTTTTGTTGTACTTATAATAATGACCAATCTCTTGAAATATTTCTCTCCAAATATGCCTTTTATAACACTACAAATTTTCATATGTTCACAAAATAGATTCATTTCTTACCCAATACTTAAAGAGAAGAGATGACTTAAAATCTGAGTTACTTGAGGCTGGCAAGATGGCTCAGCAGGTTAAGGCCACTCAAGTCCGATGACCTGAGTTCAATTCCTAGAATCCATATAGAAGTAGAAGAGAAGGGGACAGACTCCACAAAGTTGTTCTCTGACCTCTACATGTGCATCAGACCAAAAGTACACAAGCACGTGCACACGCACATGCACGCACGTGCACACACATACACGCACACAAAGTTATAAAGTAGTAAAATATAAAAATATGATAGAATATGAATATATGATAAAATATGAATATATATATATATATTTGCAATAAGATAGAAAGGCTGCACCTAGCAACCAGCTATACTGCTCTATTATAGTCTTTCCATTTCAGTATGCTTTTGGCAAATATTTGTACTTAATATTAATACATTTTTAGCTAATAAGTAGATTAAAGGACACCTGCAAAGATTTGCACTCTATAATTCAGAAAAATTCAGATTTAAGGTACTTAGCTATATTTTTAAATTAGCCCACAAGCAAAATAGTTTTCCTTAAAATCTAATAGACCTCATACTGGATATGATTCATAATCAATAGAAACTTATACTTCTGGCCTTTATCCTCAGTATTGCAATGAAATTCTTGAGAAACTACATATACAAATATACATATACATACATACATACATACATAAAAGCAATACTTACTGGTACTTTGAAAGGGGAGGTATTCGCAGTGTCCATGGAGTTGGGTTTCTCTGAAGTGCTGGTCCCTGAGATGCTCCGTCTGCGGGGGGACCTTTCTGCTGGCACCTCTGGAAAAAGTGGAAGGAGTAGAAACCTCATGAAGGATCCACAATTTCAGATTTTCTCTAAACTATAAAATTATTATTTTTTCACACGCAAAAAGATGTTTTCTTTAAAGGTCAACATATTTTAGGTATATTTGTGATGTTTGATTTATGGAGATAAAGAAACTTGGTCAGGGTTACGAATCTATTCTAAGACACAACTTGTGTTTTCATCTGTGCATGTACAAGAAGCAATTTTTCCAAGATACAATATGTTTAAGGTTTCCAGGTTCACGTAATAGTTCAATCTGGTATCATATGGCTCTACTTCTCTATCAGCCATTTAGAAGTTAAGTAAATCAGAAATTACTCATTATTTTGTGAACCAGAAATACTAGTGTTGTGCATGATTTGGCACTGCTTATGGAGAGGTCAAAGTTCGGTTCTATACATACGATTCACCAGACTGTAGCAAAATCTATGAGAAGACTGAAAGGTGCTGCAGGATAAGAGAATATACATGCCTATGCAGATATAAAAATAGAGCCGCTTCTCCTTGTTCTGGCTATATGACCTTATTCACATCTTACTCTGAAATCACAGATCTGTTCAAATGACCTAACAAGATGAGGATTCTGCAAATGATGTGATCTCTAATTTAACAGCAATAAACTACATTAACACTATATTTTAAAGGGGTTTTTCCATAGTGACAAATACATATACACATGCACACACAGATATTTATACATATTATACCTTTATCACAACTGCTTCCCATTTCCACTTCAACTGACAGATAAGAATCCAGCTTCTCAGATAACATTAGATAATCTCAACATGGACAAGAAAAAGCAAAAAAACAAAAAAACAAAAACAAAAAAATCCTATAAAAAGTATTCTGTGTTATCTTCCAGATCTTAAAAAATAAAGAGTAAACCGTGACTCCGGAGACTGACATTTTGATTCCTGCTGTTCTGCCTTTAAAAGATAAATGCAGCTTAAACTTCCATTTCTGGCCTCCTGGCCCCTGGGATCCGTGCTACTTCCACTTAAGAGAAAGCATTTTTTTTTTCTCGTGCTCCCTCCCTGCCTTGCTCTTCCCCCTCCCTCCCCACAGCTTGCAGAGAGCGAGCGAGAAAGAAACACACAGGACTGCAGCTATTCATTCAATCAATCGTCTGACTGCACATCCTCATTAGTTACTTTTAAGCTATTAACAGGCGCCCATTGCCTCCCCTTACTTACAGAAAATTTCTCTGTATTACACTAATCCTCAGCAGAAAAACAATTACTGACATTTAAATTCGGCTAGTGTTAAAAGGACACCATCTTACACAGACCCAGTAATGCACACAAATCAATGCTGCCTAAGAAAAGCCAACTGGAAGTGCTTACCCTATCACTGTTTGCATGCTGGATACAGGTCTTCTTTCATCTCCTTGTGGCATCTTGACCATTAAGATATTAGCCAAATTACAATATTCCTAACGACTGAGAAGTTGATACCGCAGCTTATATGCCTGCAGTAGAAGACAGTTCCATGATATTGCCGTATTTTTTAAATTATGACCAGTAACTGCGTCTCAGTTTCTCTCTAACCATCAGTGGATAAACGAGTCTTAATGTAGGAAGTCATTTTCAGAATTAGGCACACGTGACTTCTAGCATCCATCTCTGAAAGACGGCAGTATAATTAACTCAGATTCATGGGAATGGCACAAAGGAATTTAAGCAAATCAGCTTGTTGGAGTAGACCACACAGCAAGACCTTCAGACTTCAAGACATGACTTTAAGAGTGATGTATTCAAGTCAGGTGATTCTAAAGTTGGGAAACAAGACAGGCAAAGAAAGGAGCTGGCAAGACAGGAGAACATCTCCCATTTTCTCTGATAATTATCTAAAGAGGTTCGGTAACTTCATGTTAAGATACAGATATTTTAATAATAAAATAAGTTTAATTAGCTAGGATAAAATGATAGACTGAAACAGTCTCTTCAAGGTGCAATGTTCTGAATAACAAAAAAAAAACTGAAACCCATTTCCTCACTTCCAAACATCTAATTTTAGTTTAGGCTTATGAACTCATTAAGCAAATATATTTCAATTCTTTAACTGTGTGAAACTGTATTGGCTAAAATGAGTAACTGCATTTCAAAATCCAATAACTATGGTTACTTAGCATACTTTTTTATATCCATATGATAAAACAAACAGCTCTTACAGTTTACAGAACTCTCTTTAGTTCCAGAGAGAATAAATTATTATTGAAGAGGGAAAGTAACTCAACCAGTAAAAGGAGTGAGTACTTTATTCTACTAGTTTCTCAGTCCTCTACAACATAATTTACCTCTTGATATAGAATAGACCCTTGAATGACCATGTGTTTTATTTCTCACAAAGGTCGCTCCCCTAAAGACCAATGTTAACTAAGAAGTCAACATGAGGCTGATTGACAGCTTGCTGGATTACTAAATCACAGGAAGGTTCAAGTGGTTCCTGTTCTCTCTCTCTCTCTCTCTCTCTCTCTCTCTCTCTCTCTCTCTCTCTCTCTCTCTCTCTCTCTCTCTCTCTCTCTCTCTCTGCTCGCTGTGTGTGTGTAAGCACCTGTTCAACGCAGTTGATAGAGGTCAGTTTTGTGAAGTTCAGAGGAAAGCAAAGACTCAAGGCTGTTTGTGTGATATTTAGTACTAACAATTTGAGGTTTCTGATCAGCTGGGACTGAAAACTTGGCTGTGATTAGCAAGAGACCAGTACCACGAAAGTGAAGTCTTTGCTTTACTAGGACAATTGATGCTGGTTAGCTGAGGCTGAAAAACATTGAGGTACAATCTTCTAGGGTCAGCACACAGCTGTAGTTCAGGGGAGCCAAGGCTGAACTAGACAATATGTAAGAGTCTTTCACATGTTTTGGTGGCATGAAAGCTGCAAGATGGAAAGTATTGGGGAAGTATCGTGAGGGTTGGCATTGTAAGAGGCCAGCAGAGGACACTGGTGAAGGTGCAGTTAGTTACAGTTGAGTCCAGAACATACTGGAGATGCCAGGACTGTGGGATGACCTCTAAGGACAACAGCAGGTGTGGAATGCAGTTTGCACCTACAAAACAAGCAGTGTGTGATGTGGATGGTAATGCTGGAGAAGTGGAGCATCCCAAGCCCTTGGGCACCCAGAAGATCCTGTGTGTGTTCCAGATGTTAGACAATGGTGCTTGATGGCTTTTGCCTTGATCAAATTTTAACTGTGTTCTGGGTCTTCCCTCTTGGAACAAGAAATATATAACCTTTTATTGTACTGGAGCCTGCAATGGAGAGACTTTGGACTTTTAAAGAGATACTGGATTTTTTAAAGAGCCTGAGCTTTTATTTTAAGTTTCCAATACCAAATGTACCTCTCATTTTTAGTGATAACAACCAGGCATTTTGATAATGACAAAAAATAATGATACTGCAACACCAAGTCATCATTTATTATGATTTATTTCAGAGAAATGTTTTTAATGAATTACATCTTCAATCCAGACAATAATCCTTTGGAACTGGAATTATCCTCCCAATTTTACAGACACAGAAACAAGATGTTCTAGTACTCTGCCTGTGTCTGCCCAGCAGGCAAGAGGCAAAATGAGGATTAGAACCCACGCAGTCTGCATTTAGAGCCTGTGCTTTTAACCACCAGGCATGCTATCTTGTTCTGTGTGTTTTACATAATAGGCTATAATGGAGGGGGAAACCATAACTACAGAAACTCTGGTTTCCTTATTTGTTCCTAAAGATAACTAAAAAAATTTAACAGTATGTTCACAGTTTTTTGCATTTTAAGGAAAACTAAGGCAAACATACTAAGGGTTTACTTCAAACATGGCCTATCAAAGATTCAATCCTGGAATGTTGATGCTGATAAGGATCTCCTAGTTCAAGATAACACAGAGCTGAGAAACTGAGACAAAGTGGAAGACATTTAATAACAAAGTGTAACAGTGAGGACAGAAATTCAACAAACAGAAGCCAAGTGCTAAATAATACCTAAAGCTGGCTTTTTGGGGGGGGCATAGATGATCAGAATTGAGACTTCATCTTGATGGAATTTTCCTGTAATGAATACGAAATGACCTCATCTCTTTTGATTAATTTTAGTTTGAAGTCTAATTTGTTACATATTACAATAGCTACACCAGCTTGCTTCTTTAATTGTAAGGTCTTTTCCCAACCCTTTACTCTGAGGTAACATCTGTATTTGAAGTTGAGGTGTGTTTCCTGTATGCAGCAGGATGGATTCTGTCTTCATATCCATTCTGTTAGCCTGTGTCTTTTTATAGGTGAATTAAGACCATTGATATTGAGGGATATTAATGACCATTGATTGCTGATTCTTGTTTATTTTGGATTTGTTTTGGGTGGTGGTATTGTGCTATTATGGAAATTGAAGCAGGAAGATCATTTCAGCCTAGTTTGAGACCAGCCTAGGCAATATAGAGATCCTCTTCCCACAAAAAAGGAGAAGAGGGAGGGAGGGAGGGAGGGAGGGAGGGAGGGAGAGAGGGAAGGAGAGAGGGAAGGAGGGAGAGAGAGAGAGAGAGACAGACAGACAGACAGACAGACAGAGAGAAGTGGGAGAAGAGAAGAAGGAGAATATAAATACAAATGTACAGACCTTTAAATGTAAACATGAAACAGTCATTTCCTGAGAAGGAAACGTGCATTCAGCATGGTATAAAACCATCAATAATTAGTGAAGGTAACAGAAATGGGGAAACCATGATATTGGCTCATCCCCCTTTAGCATTCAGTCAATGTCAAGCCTATCAGTTTCAGTTTAGCCAACAATTAACCTCCTAGTCTAGGGCTTTTTATTCTGTGCAAATTATGACAAGGATCTCCTAGTTAATTTCCCCCACTTAGTTTCTGTCTACTTAATGTTATCCTATGCACAATTAATCTCCCCCAAACAATGCTTTTTTACTGAAATTGCTTTTCTACTGATGTTTACACAATCAGGAATTTAAGGGGGGGGGAATCAGACTGC